AGGACACTCTGACGCTTCTTGGGCCGACGACCAGGCGACTCAGCGTTCGTCACAGGGTTACACCTTCAGTCTTGGCTCTGGTTCTGTCTCGTGGAGGTCCACTCGTTCTTCTTCTGTGCTTGGCTCCAGCTGTGAGGCCGAGATCTACGCCGGGGCCATGGCTGCACAGGAGCTCCGCTGGCTGACCTACCTGCTGACCGACTTGGGGGAGCGGCCTCGTTCTCCTCCAGTTCTGTACGTCTACAACAAGGAAATGCTTGCCTTGTGTCGCGAGCAGAGACTGGAGCACAGAACGAAGCACATTGCTCTGCGCTACTTCCTTGCGCGTGAGCTGCAGCAGCGTGGTCAGCTGCGCCTTGCTTTCGTGGCCTCTCGGGCCAACACTGCTGATGTCTTCACCAAGGCCCTTGGGGCTTGTGATCATTAGCGTTTCTGCACTGCTCTTGGGCTTGTGCCCACTCTGCCTCACCTGCTGGTTGCTTAACTTGCTCTTGTTGTACACTGCTATATATCTTTATACCTGCATGTTTACTCTTGCTAGGTTGTGATCTGTGTACTGCCTTGCTATTATAAATCTGCATGTGAACTGGCCTTGTGGCCGCCTGCTTGTGCTCAGATTGTGTGGTGTCCTTGAGATCCACCCTGGGCTTTGCCTTGCTTGTTCTCTTGCTTGACTGGTCTTGTGACCACTGTTAGGTTTGGCTATCCCCTACTTCACCTATGGGGGTGTGTCAAAACATATTGTTCTGTTCATTTCACTCTAGGTTGTGTAGGGTTCTTTCCTTAGAGGGTACAACATTTCACTCTCGATAGTCTTGTATCCCTCTCCCTTACCTAATCGACATTCTCACCTAGCTACTGATTCTAACATAAGTACGCGTCACAATCGATTCGGACACTTTCTAAGGGTACATGTCCAGAGCGGAATGTACCCTTATGCTGATTCATAACAAAAAAACGGGTTTGGGAGTGGAGATAACACTAGACCCTCCCACATTCAACGAGCTGGGGGGCTATAATTTTGGGAGGGCTACGGGATCAGTCAGGTAAATACGGTATGTTACAATTCCTGCAGCACTCAGGTCAGGACTGATTGCACCGCGTACACATTTGCCATAATGGTGCAATGTGGTTCAAAGCAGAGTACAGCACACCTAAAACACACTAACTGATGTATCGAAAAATGTGAAAGTGCACTAAAACATGTGAATTATTCAGTATAGTCTGTCTATGGACCCCGCCTCCTTGACCAGAGCGCTGAAACGATGCCAGATGCCAATGTTCGGTCATGATTGTCATCGCTTTCAATTATTTCCTGAAAACGAAGGTTCACACCAGAGAAAGGGAAAGAGCCAGATTGGTCAAGTAACGCCTTGATGCATGCACGCCAAAGCAAAACCCTCAAAATAGTCAACCAGGCCCCGACCTTGATAAGCTTCTTGCTTTCCTCATCACCCATTTCATAGACGAAATGGCGCATGAGGGCTTGTCTAGTCCGTACTGCTCCAAGGGTGTCAACGAATTTCATGTCCTTAAGAAGCGTCTCCTCTTCAACGGGCAATATGGACAGCTGACGATCCATCTCATGCACCAGTTCAGGCACGAAGTACTTGTGAGCTGCTTGAAGAAGAGAAAATCCATGTGTCTGCAATGAACGGAAGAATGGTGAGGAGACTGCCAGGGATATCCGACAACTAAAAGCTTCAAAGGCAGGGCTACGCTACCTGGCAGTGGGCTGCCAGGTCCTGAGTTCAGAGGACATGTACCTTGCGATTCTCTTCAGGCAGCACCACGGTGCAGCCATACATGAATGACACGAGCAGCTTCAAAGTCCCTGCATCCATGTCATTCAGCTTGAGCACCGAACCCTTCTCATTCTCAAGCAGCGAAGTATCAAACAGTGCCTCTAGCACGGGAGACCTGGAGAAACCGGCAATACAAATTTGTGAGGGACTTCCAGCCAGTACCAGGCATTACCATGAACAAATCAAATTCAAATGGACAGCAGAACAAACCATAATCAGATACTGACCATTGAGCTATAACGCTACGGTGTGCAGCGACCTTGGTACCATCCGAAGCCTCAAAGGTTACATCCGTGAATTTCTCTGCCTCAAACATATTCTTGAGCTTTGCTATGAAACATGCTGAAGGTGGGTACCTGAAATTTCCCAGCCGCATCCCCATACAAGAGAATGCAGTCATACGTGAAATGACAATCATGAAACCAGCAAGGATAGGAGAAGAGAAGAGAAGTGCAGAAAAGAAAAGAAAAGGAGAGCAAAGAACGCTCCTACACATACTGATAGAGCGAAATACCTTGGCTTAGGCTGATCATCACCATTGCTCTCACTGCAATCATCAAAGAGAGTTATCAAAGATAATATGTTGAGTTGATTGACTTGGAAAGCTGGATGGTCAATTAGTGTAAGCGGACAAAGTTGATTTGCACTGTATAGTTGTTATGTACAAGAAACGCTGAATTAGAGCACGAGAAAGAGTGCCACACCTAGATTGATGCAAGACCCACTGGAAGGGAAAGACAAGAGGGATGCAAAGATCCAGGACTGCCCTTACTATTAAATATCCCTCCTCCCCTCCCCCCCCCTCTTCCCCCCCTTCCATTCCGGGTCAAACAGCCATGACTAAATGAAAACCAGAAAAAAAAAAAAGCCGACTCCTTGGGACGTATTTCACTGAACAACACGGGCGGAGCAGTTCCGTATTCAACCCGCACTTTCCTATTTGTCGTCAACGTAGTATAAAGAAAGGGCAAGGGGGGGGGGGGGGGGGGGGGGGGGAGGAGGGGGGGGGAGGGGGGGGGGGAGGAAGGAAGGGAAGGAACGGGGGGGGAGGAGAGAGAATGTGCCTCTCTTGGCTGTTCAACACGGGATAATAAGTTGCTTACTGGGGTCTCTTGGACATTCTGTGTAGCAACTTGCAAGGCGGAAGAGACGCAGGACTACAAGGGGGGATCACGGGGGAGAAAGGGTGGTGGGAACAGCTATTTCGTCCGCTGGTCTGGTCTGGAACTGCTATTCTCTGGGCTGCTTCTGGCTAGCTCTACTGAAAAACCAGGAGAGCAGTGGTTCGGGGCTAGCGTCACAACTCTGGTATTCACATGCGTGGACGCAAGTTCGCAGCTTAGGCGAGTTCAGAAGCCGTAGGCGCATGTGACGTTCGCCACAGCGTACCCAGGTCGCAAAGCGAGAGAACGTCGAAGCCCGTCAGGCTGGCCGATGTGAGATGTTGATGGATTTGAACGAAAGTCGAGCGAGGTAAGCCGTAAGATTTATCAGAGTCACGAACCCGACTGATTCACCTCCCTCCACATATATCGGGTTTTGATCAGTGACTGAGGGAAGGTTCTTACCAGTGAGTCGCGACCTTTTCGCGAGAGCGCCTGAAGCGTATTTGCTTTCTTTCAACCACCCTCTCACGAGGTTTGGGCACCAGTTTCGCGAGGGCCCAGCCTCGTCACTAGTCCCCTGCTCGACGTGTTCGATATTTCCGCAGTATTGCAAGATGCAACTGTCGATTTCGTACATTTAGGTCCAGGATGATTCCACACGGTGAAAAGAGGTTTCCGTGGTATACCCTTTGCACCAAGAACCAGCCTTATCTCAATCTGCTATGACAGCTTGGCTTGGCATGGTTGCTTTTGCTATTTCACAGAAGTGCAAATTTTAGATTGTAACTCACCATTGTTTATGCAATGAAAGGCTAAGCAATACATAAGGGACCCTTGCAAAAAGTGAACCAGCACGTCGACTCCAGGACAAACAAAAATGGCCATAGTCATCACAGAATTTTGACAACGACAAATCCTCCAAACCCCGAGAGAGTGTCTATTCGTCAATATTGTATGCTCTGACGATTCTATGATTTGTCGAGAAGATAAATCAGCGAGAGAGCCTTTCCTCTAACACCTGTTTGCAGGAAAGAATAAGCACACCTGCACATCCACTTCGCAATGTGTCAGCGTGGCATGCAGGGCAGACAATGTGAGGCGTTAACCTAAAGCCTAATGGACGATGCTGGAAGAACGAGAAACGGCAGTGGCATAAAAAAACAAAATAAGATGAAAAGTGCAATCTGAGAATGAGTTGAGCATGATGTGAGAGGGATGTGCTTGCAATGAAAACAAGTGCGGGTGAGACAGCTTTTGGACACCCAGCAGCCACCGAGCTCAGCCTCTTCCTTCTTCAGCTCACCAGTGCACGCGCCATCGATAATCAGGCATTCACTCCACACACGCCTTGCCCGTTCCTTGCAACGCACTGCTGATCGGCATCGCACTCAACTCCATCGCAGGGGTCAGCAGCTGCAGACGCAAGGAGGGAGTCAGAGTTTTTAAGGAGGTGTGATTTGATCTTTCTGCCTCATTGTCTCTCTGTCTATTTGAATATCTGCCTATCTGTCTTTTTGTCTATCTTCTCTCGATCTCACCAAGTCAAAAGCACAGAAAAGGGATTACAGTGGGACAGGAAGGAAGCATGTAGGTAGACGATCACATGAGAGACAGTGAGATGAGCGAGGGAGAGAGAGAGAGGGAGTAAGAGTGTATGGAGATTGAGAGTGAGAGTGAGAGGGATGGGCATGCTATGGAATTAAGGTGTAGCATGAGACGCCCCTCAAGCCTCCCAAGAGGCAAACCTGACACTTCCAGTTCAGTCCACCGGTGCACCGCCCACTCACTCACCACTGCAGGCCCCCCCACTCACCACTGCAGGCCCCCCCACTCACCACCGCAGCCCCCCCACTCACCACCGCACTCCCCCCACTTATCACCGCAGCCCAACCACTAGCACCGCAGTTGGGGCAGGAGCAACACGACCCCTCCAGGCACTTTGCGTTTGCACAGGGGTCCCACGAGAACCAAAAGCTGGCTGCGCCATTCCAGCTCACCGGCGCACATCCCATTAGCTCACTGGCGCACATCCCATTAGCTCACCGGCGCACAGCCCATTAACTCACCGGCGCACAGCCCATTAGCTCACCACCGCAGTTGATGCACTGGCAGACACCTTTCCCGCCCTTAGCAACGCAATGTGAGCCCGGCGGGCAGTCCGTGTATGTACAGGGCTCCACTGGGGCTGGCATGAGGGCATGCGAGCATGGGGGGGGCATGAGAGAGAAGTACGGGAGGAGTGAGTGAGGCATTATATACCTCTTTCTTTCTCTCTATCTCGTTCCTCCCTCTCTCCGTCGTACCAATGAACTGCGGCTGATGACCAAGTTACGCAGCTGGAAGAGTGAGGGTGAGGGATGAGCATGAAAGAAAGATGAGATGCCTCCCAAGGAACCAATCAGCGATGACACTGAAATTGAGATGTGTCGGCTCGTTCATGGCGAAAATTAAGATTACTAAAAGAGCCCACACACCCTTTGCTCACACACCCTTAGCTCACACACCCTTGGCTCACACACCCTCGGCTCACCACACCCTTGGCTCACCACACCCTCGGCTCCTTGGCTCACACACCCTCGGCTCACCACACCCTTGGCTCACCACACCCTCGGCTCACCACACCCTTGGCTCACCACACCCTCGGCTCACCACACCCTCGGCTCACCACACCCTCGGCTCACACACCCTTGGCTCACCACTGCACATGCCTCTCCTCAGGCTGAAGCCCTGAGCACATTCACACACGCCTTTCCCGCCCTTCACCAAACAGTTTGCATTCTCCCCACACTCCATGCCGTCGCACGGGTTTGGTGCTGCGCGGGCAGGGCGTGCAAGCAAGGAGGGAGGGAGGGATGCGATGAAAGTGAGGCAACGTCACGACAGGCTGGGAAACACCAAGTATGAAACCCAGACAAGAATACAGCAATGTCACGACAAACCACCGTGCGAGCTCACCAATGCACTCCCCGTTGGTCTCAGTGTAGCCCTCCCAGCACTCGCACACGCCCTTCTTCCCCCTCGCCACGCACTGTCTCAGTGGAGGACACTCCACCGTGTCACATGGGTCTGTGGCTGTTAGAGGGGAAGGAGGAGGTGGGGAGTAAAGGAAGGAGGGTTTTAAAGAATGCACAATCACTAGTCTCTTCTGCATCTGGTATCTTTCACTCCCTCACTCCCCTGCTCCATTCGAACAAGGTAGCAGGGAATAAAAATGAAAGTGGGTGGGAGGAGCGGGGAGAATGGTAGTCCTGGCACATTTTGTGTTTCCAACTAGACCTAGTCGATGAGAAGCTAATCTTAAAACACAGACAATGCCCGTTCGCTCACCCGCGCTCACCCGAGATGCTCACCCACACACTGCCCGTTGAAGTTATTGAAGCCGCTCTTGCACTCGCACACTCCCTGCTCGCCCTGCTCGCCCTGCTCGCCCTTGCGCACGCACTGGGCATCCTTGTCGCTGCACTTCACTCCCGCACATGGGTCTGGCCCTGCCATGGGGGGCGGGAGGACGCACGGCAAGAAGAAGGATAAGACATTCGCCTCACACTCCATCCCATCGCACGGGTTTGGCTCTGCTGTGGCAAGGAGCAGAGGGCAGAGGGCAGGTGGCAGAGGGAAAAGGGAAGAGGGCAGGGGGCAAAGGGCAGAGGGCAAAGGGCAGAGGGCAAAGGGCAGAGGGCAAAGGGCAGAGGGCAGGGGGCAGAGGGCAGAGGGCAGGGGCAGAGGGCAGAGGGCAGAGGGCAGAGGGCAGAGGGCAGATGACAGAGGTGAGAAGGCTGTGTGAAGCACACAGCAGAAGATGCAGCGATCACGCAACGCCCACCGTAACACCGCTTGTCAGTGGCATTGTAGAGTTGAGTGTCGGAGCACTCGCTCTCCCCTCTGGTGACTTTTGAGTCAACTCAAAAGTCACCTTAGCAGAGGAAACGGCGCCCACCGTAACACCGCTTGTCAGTGGCATTGTAGAGTTGAGTGTCGGAGCACTCGCTCTCCCCTCTGGTGACTTTTGAGTCAACTCAAAAGTCACCTTAGCAGAGGAAACGGCGCCCACCGTAACACCGCTTGTCAGTGGCATTGTAGAGTTGAGTGTCGGAGCACTCGCTCTCCCCTCTGGTGACTTTTGAGTCAACTCAAAAGTCACCTTAGCAGAGGAAACGGCGCCCACCGTAACACCGCTTGTCAGTGGCATTGTAGAGTTGAGTGTCGGAGCACTCGCTCTCCCCTCTGGTGACTTTTGAGTCAACTCAAAAGTCACCTTAGCAGAGGAAACGGCGCCCACCGTAACACCGCTTGTCAGTGGCATTGTAGAGTTGAGTGTCGGAGCACTCGCTCTCCCCTCTGGTGACTTCTGAGTCAACTCAAAAGTCACCTTAGCAGAGGAAACGGCGCCCACCGTAACACCGCTTGTCAGTGGCATTGTAGAGTTGAGTGTCGGAGCACTCGCTCTCCCCTCTGGTGACTTCTGAGTCAACTCAAAAGTCACCTTAGCAGAGGAAACGGCGCCCACCGTAACACCGCTTGTCAGTGGCATTGTAGAGTTGAGTGTCGGAGCACTCGCTCTCCCCTCTGGTGACTTCTGAGTCAACTCAAAAGTCACCTTAGCAGAGGAAACGGCGCCCACCGTAACACCGCTTGTCAGTGGCATTGTAGAGTTGAGTGTCGGAGCACTCGCTCTCCCCTCTGGTGACTTTTGAGTCAACTCAAAAGTCACCTTAGCAGAGGAAACGGCGCCCACCGTAACACTGCTTGTCAGTGGCATTGTAGAGTTGAGTGTCGGAGCACTCGCTCTCCCCTCTGGTGACTTTTGAGTCAACTCAAAAGTCACCTTAGCAGAGGAAACGGGGGCGAGCCACTCCTCCTCGTTGCTCCACCCCACTTTCACGACCGCATCGACCGGGGTGACGCCCACATTGACGCATGGAGTGGGTTGGGCAAACGAGAGAGGCACGTTGAACGGCATCCCTTGCAGGTTGGCGTTGAGTAACAGCGCGTACGTCGCGCTCTGCCGGTACCTCGCGGCGCTGCTGGTCGCGGCGAGCAAGGCTGCGACGAGCGCGAGGGCGGCGGCCAGGCGAAGGACGGACGGCCCGCCGTGATGATGACGGCGCTGCATGGCGGCGACGGCAATAGCGGACGGCGATGGTTGTGGGGCAGGCGATGGCGATTCAAGTTGAAGCGGTAGTACTACCCGCAGTAACGGTTGGTGTGGACGGAATGAAAGTGGCGAGACGTTAGCAAGCCAGGAGCGGCAGGCGCAGGAACGATGGGCAAGCACGGAGCGGCCGATACTAGCGACGGATGGTGAACGATGGAAGCTTGTGAAGGGATCTCGAGGGATTGTGAAGTGAGGGGGAAGTGGGGAAGCGAGAAGATATAACTCGTCGTGCTTGAATGAGGGACGAACTTGAAAGGGTTGCGCTCTGCGTCGCATGTTGCGGCGGAGCGAGGGGGCGGAGAGTGAGAATGAGGGGCGCCGCGGCAGGGACGCGACGGGAGCGACGCGACGGGAGGGACAAGAAGGTTGGGCATGGGCGAGGTTCATTCGCGTCGCATGGGTTGGAATGGGTACATTCATTCGCAGACTGTCTCATCGCGAATGGCTCGACGCTTGTGATTGGATGGCGCCGCTCCTCGCGAGCGGCGCACCCCCTGTGTTGCCACGTGGCCGAGGGGCCGTGATTGCCGGGAGATGTGCGGGTTGCAAAGACAGGTCGTTATCGCCTGCTATGAGTCTCTCCCTCTCCTTCGCAACAAATAATCGCCTGTGGGGTTGGCTGCCTTCATTTCTTCGCCAACAATATTTGAACCGCGAGGCTATCCATCATCCTCGCGATTATATGAGCGATGGGCGTATCCCAGGCTAGTGTCAAGAATGAGTTGGTGTCAACCTCAGAAAGCGGGAACCTATGCGATTGGCCTGTTGTCTTATTTGGACCGATCGGCGTGTGAGAATGAGTTAGTGTCATGACACTAGCCCTCTTGAGACTTGCATGGGATACGCCCTCAGACGTGAGGAAAACCCTGGGCACGGTTTTTGCCTTTTCACCGCTTTAGACCACTGCACACCAGGGTGAGGCATTCAAAACGAACCCACATCAAAGTGGTGTGGAACGGCTGGGCGAGACCTCGGGCTGGAGAGGCTCGGACGCTTGGCGGGAGGCGCGGTGGTGACTCAGAAGTGGTTCGGAGCGAAGGTGTAGGCCGAACCAGCTGACCCAAGCCCCTCGGGATTTTCTCGCTACAGTGCAGATAAATTATTTCCAAATAATTGCTTACACTTTACATCTGGTTTGAAACCACATATTGAGTTACCTTTCCGAAGTCCTTAGTTTGGCCGCAACTACCGCTCAACCTTGTAATCTGGCACACCTCAAATCCTTGTGGCGAAGCAGGGAAATGGCTGTCACATCAGCCACGATCTTTCCCGTCGCCGCCTCGTCGCATTCTCTCACATTCCCTCGCCTATCTGTGTCGCACGCGACCCAGCTCCATTTTCGTCCACCAACACCTTCCCGCCCGTGCGAGCCTCGTTCCCACCATGGCGCGCATCTGCTTTCCGCGAATTGCGCTCGCAGTTGTCCCCCCGCGCGCAATCGGCGGAAGCAGGCGGAGGCGGAGGCCGGTTGCGGCGGGGTAGGGGGGAAAGGCGGCGGGTCGGAGTGGGTGGGGGGTTTTAGAGTCCACAGACAATGGTTGTGCGACACGCGATCGCTGTGCGACACGCGATCGCTGTGCGACACGCGATCGCTGTGCGTTGGGGGATTCTTCACAAGCCTGGAGCATTCGCTCTCAGCCAAGTCCGAAGCGGCGTGGCGACGCTTTCCCAGCAACGGATGGCGACGAGTGGAGTTGGGCGCGCGGAGCGAACTCCCGTTGCGGCGGCGGGGGGGAGAGTGGCGAGTGCGGAAGGGTGCGGCTTTGGCGGGGCGCGGACAGATGGGGAAGCGGAGTGGGGTGGTGAGGGTGAGAGCGAGGGGATGGTGGGGAAAGGGCGGGGCGGGGGAGACTGCAGCGGGGCGATTACTAGCCGAGGTGGAGGGGGAGGCGGTAGAGTGGGGGAGGGGGGAAGAAGGGGGCGGTGAGGGCAGACGGGGCGGGGTAGGAGCCGGTGAGACGGGCGGGGAGCGGGCGAGGGCGGGAGATCTGCTTGCGTGGGAGGGGCAGGGGCGGGTAGGTGAGGGTAGGGGCATGGGCGATGGGATTCCCAACCCGGAGAGAAGGAGACGGCAGCAGAGCGAGGCGAGCAGAGAATGGAGCAGCAGGAGGAAGGGTAGGGGGGCAGGGAGCAGTACGCGGGGCAGCAAGGTGGGAGGCACAGGGGGGAGCACGGCGAGCAGCACCGGGGGGGCCAGCAGCGAGGAGGAGATGGTGGTGCCGTCGGCGGCAGTGCTGCTGCTGCAGGGGCTGACGGCGGAGGCGAGATGGCGGCTGGTGGACGAATGCACCGAGGCCCTGCTTGAGCAGGTGGGCCGTGAGGGTGCAGACATTGTTGAGAGGTAAACCGTATGAGCACACATTGTCGCATGCTGGAGAGCAGCAGGTACGCAAAGGATGTGAGCATGGATGGCACGCAAGGTACGCGCGTGAGCGTGGTGGCGGCGTGGTTGAAACTGGGTCAGGGGAAAACGTGGCTGGAACAGGAGAGATTGGGGGGCGTGCATGTAGGCCGGTGTTGGAGAGGTAGAGTTGCTGAGCTGGTGGGGTAGCGAGGTGGCGGTGCCGGTTCCAGTAGCACCCGTAAAGCATCTACGCTTCGCTCTCCACCCCCGCCACTCCCCTACTCCGCCCATCCCCTTCACGTACTCTTCCCACTCCCCTACTCCTCCCACTCTTCCCCCCCCCCACTCTCTCCACTCCCCTGCTCATCCCACCCCCCCAACCCCCCTCTCTCCCCCACCGCCCTTGCTCCCAACCTCTCCCAGGCCAGTGCGATCGACAGCAAGGCGCGCCAGCTGTCACAACAGGAGTGGTCCACGTATTGCACAGACGTGATTGGCCGGGCAGTGCTGACGTCAGAGAGCCAGTGGCAGCAGCAACTAGTGGGCGGCAGCAGCGGGCGGAGAAGAGGAGAGCGACGAGGCGAACTGGCAGCAGGGGAGAGTGGTGGGGCTGCTGCCGTTGGTGATGGGGCTGGGGGGAATGGTGGGGATCGGGAGGGGTTGAGAGGAGGGGTCAGCGAGGCAGAAGGGGTTGCAGTGGGGGAGTGGCAGGGGAGGGAGTCGTGGGTGAGAGGGGAGGCGGTTAGGGGGGCAGTGGAGAATGGGAGGTGGGCACTTTACTGCCAACTGTTGGACCACCTCCGGTTCACCCAGCACGACGGGGCTGACAGGTGAGACTGCTGATGGTGTCGTGCCATCTTGATAGGCTGTATCACCGCCCTTATCGGCTGTATCACCGCCCTTATCGGCTGTATCACCGCCCTTATCGGCTGTATCACCGCCCTTATCGGCTGTAGCACCGCCCTTATCGGCTGTAGCACCACCCTTATCGGCTGTAGCACCACCCTTATCGGCTGTAGCACCACCCTTATCGGCTGTAGCACCACCCTTATCGGCTGTAGCACCACCCTTATCGGCTGTAGCACCACCCTTATCGGCTGTAGCACCACCCTTATCGGCTGTAGCACCACCCTTATCGGCTGTAGCACCACCCTTATCGGCTGTATCACCGTCTCTGTCTTCTTGGGATGGACTCGCTTCTCCCATATCCTCGTAGTCTCCTTCCCACCTGTACCCCCAATTCCCGCCTTCTCCCCAGTGGCATAGTGTGTGTGGTGTTGGACTGGATTGGATGACTGCGTGGTGGAGATGGCAGAGGCAGCACCGACGGTGACTGTGTGCCCCACCCTTCTCCCATATCACCCTCCCCCTTCCCTCCCTCCCCCTTCTTCCCTCTCTCCCCCCCAGTCGCATTGTAAGTATGGTGTGGGACGACTTCGTGCTGGATACGGCAGAGGCAGCACGCGTGGCTCTGTCTCCTACTCCCCCCTGCCCCCTGTCATACCCTTCCGCCCCCACCCCACCCCGCACCCCTTTTCTCCCCTTTACCCTCGCAGTCGAATAGCGCGGGTGGTGTTGGACGACCTGGTGGTGGAGGTGGCAGAGGCGGCGCTTCTCACAGCGATAGAGGCGGCCGGCACACAGGAGAGCCGCGAATGGATGGGCCTCTCGCTGCCCGGGCTGGACTCCCTTGGCTTCATTGACTCGCTTGACTCGCTTGACTCGTTTGACTCTCTTCAGGGGGGCTACAGTGGTGGCAGCAAGGGGACGGGAATGGTGGGGTTGAGAGCGGGGATTGGAGGGTGGGAGGTGGAAGGGGAGGGGCTGAGTGTTGTGGGACAGGGCAGGGGAGGCAGCAGCAGCAGCAGGGGGGGAGCGAGCATGGGTGATGTGCTATGCCTGTTCCGAGAGGAGTATCGGTCCTCTCGGCGATTTGAGAAGTTGAGGAATGAGGTGAGTCACGTGCATAGACGCACCCGTGAGACACCATTCATACTCTCTGCAAACCCCGCAAGCCCCTCTACTCCCCTCCCTTCATCATTCACCCCTCATCCCCGTGCTCGCCTGCTCATCTCTTCCTTTTTCCGCCCCCTCGCATGCTGGACTTCTCGTACATGCTGGACTTCTCGTACATGCTCCACGTGCTGAAGTGCAACTCGCTGCATCGCAATTGCCCATTCAAATGTTTGTGCTCCGCCCAGTTGCTCGCCTTTCCCTTAAAATCCCCTCCCTTTTCTGTCTGCTCCCCTCTCCCTGCTCCCCCTTCTCCCCGCTCCCCTCTCCCCGCCCCCCCCTCTCCCTGCTCCCCCTTCTGCCTTCTCCCTCTGCTCCCCAGGTGGCACTGCGCAAGTGGCTGAGGGTCAACGTGACATCGGTGGTGGCCATCTTTGAGGACCGCTTCCTCCTCTGGGGGCTGCGCCGCTCCTCCCCACCCCCTGCCCTCCCCACCATGCCCACTGCCATGGCCACTGCTCGCCTCACTCCCACTGTGGCCTGGGCAACTCCAGAATCCTCTTTACCAGCCTCGTCACAGCAGCGCCCGCGCTCTCATCTGCCCCCCGCGGCATTCCCCAACGACTTCAGCAGTGCGAACAGCACCACAGCAGCGGGCCCTTTGGCCTGGCTGCAGGGGCTGCTGAGAAGAGGCTCGGGAAGCGGCACTGGTGCTGTGGGCGGCGGTGGCTCAGGCATGGGTGCTGTGATGCAGGTGGCGGGAGGCGGTGGGGGTGAGGAAGGGGGCATGGGGGAAGTGAGTGGCACGCGGCAGTGGTGGCAGGGGAAAAGGAGGCAGGGGAGAGCAGGGGAGCGGGAGCAGCAGGGGAGGGTGGGTGGGCCTGTGGGTCTGGTGCAGCGCAGTGTGGTGGGCAGCAGACGAGGAGAGCTGCGACAGCTGAGAGGATGGTGAGAAGAGGGTGGGCACGGGGTGGTGGTTAGGGATGCGCCTACTGAGATGGCTGCATGGGTAAGCAAGGCAGTCTCCCAAGGCTTATTCTGCCATGACGTCATCTCCTCTTCCACCTTCTTCTCATTCTCCCCTCTCCCCCCCTCTCCCTCTTTTTATCTGCCAAGCAGGAAGCTGGTGGTGGTGGTGGCATTGGAGCTATCGGATCTGCTCCTGCCGCTCTTCAAGGCGGCCGTCACAGCAGCAGGCAGAGCCGTCTCCTTCCTCCTCGTTGCTCTCATTGGCCGCTCGCTGGGCCTTGTATACCGGGGCATCAGGCAGAGCTGGGGTCAGGCTCGCTAGCTGCACCACTGGGTCGCTGAGTGCTTTTTCAAATTAATCCAACAGTGCAGCACTGGTGGTGTCCAAACACATCAGCGGCGTCAAGCAGTTTTACGACATGTACCATGTCAAAGCGAGGTAGCCAAGCAGGCCCCAAAATGTCAGGGTAAAGTACCCTGATTGCCCTGACTGGCGGCCGCTTTTTTTTGGGTTACCCTGACCCAGTCAGCTGTCAAATGTTGACATTTGTTATAGTCTGTAGTGAGGTGCTGTGTAGTGGGTACAACTCAATTAGACTGTCATGCTTGTACTCCCCCTCACTTTTCCACTCTCGACATTCCGTTGCACTCTACTTCTAAGATGGTATCATGAGTAGGTATAGTATCCTAGCCTAGCTCGCACTCTAGCGCCCTCCACGCTCTAGCCTTTCGTCGCGCCCTCCGCGCTCTCCGAAACGAGCCCTCCGCGCCCTCTGAAACGCGCCCTCCGCGCCCTCCGAAACGCGCCCTCCGTCTCGTGCCTCCGCCCTTAGCCCGTGCGCCCTGCCCTTAGCTCGTCGCGGGCCCCGTGCGCCCTGCCCTTAGCTCGTCGCGGGCCCCGTGCGCCCTGCCCTTAGCTCGTCGTGGGCCCCGTGCGCCCTGCCTTAGCTCGTCGCGGGCCCCGTGCGCCCTGCCTTAGCTCGTCGCGGGCCCCGTGCGCCCTGCTTTAGCTCGTCGCGGGCCTCGTGCGCCCTGCTGTAGCTCGTCGCGGAGCCTCCGCCCGCCTAGCACGCCTCCGCGCCTCTCGCACCCTCCATCCCGGGCCTAGCCGTGCGCCCTCTCCTTCGCCCACGCCTGGCGCTTTAGACCGCGCCTAGCCCGCGCCCGAGCCCGTGGCTTAGCCCGCGCCTTACCCCACGCCACGCGCCCTCTGTGCTTAGGCCCGCCCTCCGCGCCGTCCGCGCCCCCCCCCCCCGTGCTTAGCTCCGCCCTTTGCGCCGTCCGCGCCCTCCGTGCTTAGCCCCGCCCTCCGTGCCTCCCACAGGCCGAGCTCGCGCCCACGCCTTAGCCCTCACCCTCACCTTAGCTTGGGCCCTACCGACGCCCACCGACACTTGGCACTCGTCCCTTTCCCCACCACCACCCTGTTCGCTGAGCCCCAACCATTCTTAGAGCGTATTCCTACGGGGCCACCTCGTATCAAGAATGGTACTCCTGCCTGTAAATTGACAAGTTCGCCAAAACCTCATATCAGTAAAAGTTGCCGGTTAACCCACATGTGCGACTCCATCAACAGCTGATGTGGCATGTTGCGACCAGCATGAACAAGTTTGCACACTTTGCACGTTCGCGCGCGGCGCACGACTGCCACCGTGTGCAGTTTCGCATGACTATTTGTCGGCCGCATTCACTGGACTGACGACTTCGCGTCAACTGGAACCGTGCGTCGGAAAATCAGCACGTTCACTTCTGGGTGTGCGAGCATTTTCATTGGTGCGTTGGTTCGGTCTATTCTTGATATAAGGTGTTTTATACCGTAAACAAAAGTCAATTTCATTCTTGATACGAGGTGGCCCCGTAGGAATACGCTCTTACTGCCAGTGGTCTCTAGTTCAGCGGCTGGCAGCCGCTTCTCTCGTCGGTCACCTAGGTTAGACCCTTGTGGTCACTAGCTCCTCGCCTTTAGCGCCCATATCTGGAGTTCCTCGCCGTTTCACGCCTAGCCTAGGTCACTCCGTGCTCCTCGCCACTAGCTCCGCCGGTCTCTTGCCTCGCCACACATGGCGCTCCTCCATTTCCCTCCTTGTTCCTAGATCCGTCTCTTCCGTGCTCCAACCGCCTCTAGCCTAGCCTCCAGTATGGAGTCTCGCCGCCTTCGGTTCGATGCGGAGGGACGCCCGATCGAGTTCAGTACCTGGCAGCGCCAGGCCACGCGCTACCTCACCAGTCAGCGTCAGGACGGCGCCACCTTGTGGGCCCACGCGTCGGGTGCCCTCACAGCGCCCCTGTCCCCCGACCCCCTCCCGAACGACCCAGAGCCGAGTCCTGCGGCGCAGGCGGACTACGACCGTCGTGTCTTGGCGAGGGACGTGTGGGACTCTCGCGACGCTGCTGCCGCTCTTGCGCTGACGGAGCTCCTCCCCCCGACTGAGGCCGCCCACTTTGACCAGGTGGAGACAGCTCAGGGGGGTTGGGCTGCTATTGTTGCACGCTATTCCACCCCTTCCTCTGCCTCCCTCAGTCGCCTCCTCATGCCGTTCGTGTTTCCCGACCTCGGCTCGTTTGCGACTGTGTCCGACCTAGTGACTCACCTCCGCTCACTTGACGCCGGTTTCCGTGCGGCCTGTACCGACGCCCAGCTTCTTGCTGCTCCCCCCCCCATGTGGCTCACTGTGCACTGGTTAGTCACCCGCCTCCCTGACCGCCTTGCCACTGCTCGCTACGCGCTTCTCCAGAAGCACCCCACTGAGCTCACTGTCGATCTCCTTGAGACTGCTCTCGGGACGATCGAGAATAGCCTCCTCACCGTTGCCTCCGCCACTGACGCGGTGGCCCCCCGTCTCTTTGCGGGGTGTGCCGCCCCTCAGCTTCCCGCTTTCACTGCTACCCGCGCTTCTGCTGCTGTGTCGGTTTCTGGGGACACTGCTGCCGTTTCTGCCGCAGACTGGCAGAAACGGGGCAAGAGTGGCGAGAAGGGCGGGAAGGGGGGAGGTGGAGGCGGTGGAGGCGGCGGTGGAGGTGGCGGTGGAGGTGGTAGCGGCGGTGGTGGAGGCGGTGGCGGCGGCGGTGGCGGAGGTGCACCAGGCGGAGGGGACCTTGGAGGAGGTGCAAGACAGACAGGCCCGCCCACTGGCGGTGGCCCGACCGGTGGGGGTGTTGGACCCCAGCAGCAGCAGTCGCAGCAGCACCAGCCACAGCAGGGACAGCAGCAGCAGCAGGGACCGCAGCAGCAGCAGGCACCGCAGCAGTTCCAGCAGTGGGGGCCCCCACTGCAGTGGGGTCCGCAGCAGCACTGGGGTCCCCCGCCGCAGTGGGGTCCGGGAGGACCAGGGAGCACCGGCCACAGCGGCAGCGCTTCCAGCTGGGCCCCTCGCCCCCCTCGCCGTGACACTAGCCCCTGCACCCACTGGTGCCTCACCGGACCTGGCAGCCCCAGTCTCTGCGGTCGTGACGACCACTCTGCCGCGCGGTGCTTCCGCCGCCTCGACGACCTCTACCGTGCTCGTTGGGGCCCTACGGCGACCACGCCTCGCTGGGCTCGCCTGTTAGCCCGTAAGATTGATGTGTTTGATCTGTCCATGGGCGATGCTCGTCAGCATGCTTTGTATACTGATGTTGACTATAGTGCTGATGGATCTGTGTGCTCGCGTGTTCCTAGATTAGCTTGCTTGCCTCCTGCTAGTGTAGACTTGTGCCTTTTTAGTCTAGGTGCTTGTGTTGCTGCTCTAGGTGCTTGTGTAGCCACTAGGACGGGTGACCCTCCGGCTGAGGCGTCCCTGTCCTTCACGCTGGACTCTGGTGCGTCTCAGTGCTTCTTCCGCGACCACACGACCCTCACGCCACTCCTCACTCCTGTTTCGGTGGCTCTGGCTGATCTTACCTCAGGACCAGCCGTTGCGCGTAGCTCCACTACCCTCCCGTGTCCTGTGGTCCCCTCTGGTGTCCTGCGCGGCCTCCACATCCCCTCGTTCACTCGGAACTTGGTGGGTGTTGGTTACCTCCAGGACAGGGGGATCACGGTTACCTTTGTGGGGGGTGGGAGGACTGCGGTCTGTACAGACGCTGCCACAGGTGCTGTTCTGGCCACGTTCACCAGGGAGCCCCGCTCCGGTCTCTACATTCTCCACACCGAGCGCTCCCCGGTTGCGTCCCCCGCTCAGGTCGTCGCGTCCCCTCTAGTCCAGGTGTCCCGTCCGGTTGCTGTGTCTAGCCAGGTGGTCGTGTCTTGTCCAGTTGCAGTGTCTAGTCAGGTCGCTCTGTCTAGTCCAGTCGCTGCGTCCTGCTCTTGTCGGTCCCTCACCCACCGGACCGTCTTGTGACATCACCGCCTTGGCCACCCGTCGATCCCCCGCCTCCGCGGGATGACCACTCACCGGCTTGTCACCGGTCTCCCACGCACCTTTCCGTCGCTCCGCACCTCCCCTGCTCCCCCTTGCACTCCTTGCGTCGCTGGTCGCTTACGCGCCACTCCCCACTCCTCCTCCCTTCGTCCGGCCACTGCTCCCTTCGAGACCCTCCACTTGGACGTCTGGGGCCCTGTCCCGACGCAGGGTTCTGGGAGGGAGCGTTACTTTCTGGTGGTCGTCGACGACTTCTCCAGGTACACCACAGTGTTCCCTCTCGCGAAGAAGTCCGAGGTGACTGCTACGCTGATCCGGTGGCTTCTGGCCACTGAGGGCACTCGTGGTCGTCGTGTCAGTTGTCTACACACTGACCGTGGGGGCGAGTTTCGCTCCGGCATTCTTGGCGGATTCTGCGGCGAACAGGGCATCGTACAGTCCTGGACGCTTCCGGAGTCCCCACAGCAGAATGGGGTTGCTGAGCGCCGCATTGGCTTGGTCATGGACATTGCTCGCATGTCCATGATCCATGCCCGTGCGCCCCATTTTCTGTGGCCCTACGCGGTTCGCTACGCCGCACACCAGCTGAACCTCCAGCCGCGCGTCTCACGGCCCGAGGCTTCACCGACCAGTCTTTGGACCGGGTCCCCTGGTGTTGGGTCGGTCTTTCGTGTCTGGGGCTGCCTTGCGCTTGTTCGCGACACCTCCGCGGACAAGCTCTCGGCACGCGCCGTCCCCTGTGTCTTCCTTGGTTTCCCGGTGGACTCTGCCGACTGGTCCTTTTACCACCCTCCCCTCCACCAGTTCCTAGACTCCCGTGACGTCCAGTTTGACGAGTCCGTGTCCTACTACACCCGGTACCCCTGTCGAGGTCTCCCGGTTCCCCCTCCCCCCCTCTTCCTCGCACCCTCTCCTCCTCCTGTTCCCGCTCCTCCGGTACCCCCGCCCCCCCCTGGTCCTGCCCCGTCTGGTGTGTCCCACG